TCCTGACACCCAGACCCCGCGGCCACACTCCCCGCCCTGTAGTGTCCTTGTCGCACGCCTTCTTGAGTTACTATTATATCCCTCCTTTTGTCTGTATTGTATGTAGGACGCCCTTTCAAACAGTAATAAGGTCCTGGCCTCCTGTCAGCAGAAAACAGAACAAGCACCCCCACTGTTTTGGGAGTGTAGTTATTTTGGGGGTGTAATTATTCGGCGGAAACTTTGCAATCATTCTTTGAAACTTTGAAGCTTTGTTTCCGATATCTTAAGTTTTTCTTCCACAACATATAAAAACTAATTTTCAACTCCCCTGGCATGTTATCTCTCTATTTGGCCGACTTCTACTCTTTCCAGCCGCCTCCCGAAGCCTGGTAGAGGCTACGATTTCTACTCTTTCCAGCCGCCTCCCGAAGCCTGGTAGAGGCTACCGCATGCATACCTGGATGGATCTCTACTCTTATCAATAGGTGTGGTGGGTTCTTTAACGTGTTTGTCTCAAACGCGTGCCCTGCGCGTCTTAGCGTTCCCAACAACCCACTTAAGAAACAACCATCGGCACTTAAGTGAATCAGCTTCAGTTTGAAGGAGCTCTCTTGGTGTATTTTTAGCAACAGCTGACTTTCTTTAGTGTTCTTTCATGTGCTTTTTTGTGGTTGAGTGTCAGAAATAATTTATCCAACGTACAATATCTTTGTTGTTAATTTTCCATTTTGCTTTTAGACATTGATATGCAAATTCAATTCCATTATCATTTATATCATTTGTCATATTTATTTCGTATGTTTTCTGTACTTTATTAATAAATAAAAATGAAATAGCATATGCGTCTAGTTTGTCATTTCGCCGTTTGAACGTAAAACACGAAGCAGCAGCCTTTTAAAATCAATAGATATATGACTTACAGGACGATTTTGTTCTGTGTACACTTGTTATCTATTAGGCATTCTTATGCGGGCTGTGTTTCTATGGCGAATTGTCCCTGTATTTAGGCCAGTAGGCTCTATAATAGTATAGTACAGAGTAGGCCAATTAAGTGTATCTTTGGGCTGACATTTTGTGCAATCATGCTCTACTCTTACGTTCAACAGTGTTTGTGTTCAATTCTCTTTGTATATGAAGAGAGTAGGACAATTAAATATATTAACAATTTCATATTTACAATATATTTACAAGTATATATACATAGTAGGACAATTAAGTATATTTTTGGACTGACATTTTGTGCAATGGTGTTCTTCCCCAACGTTCAACAATGTGTGTTCAAATCTCTTTGTATTTGGTTTTATTCTTACCATATCCCTTGTGCGTTTTTATAAGGAATTGAAAATATGATCGTAAAATCAGCCAAGCGTTGTCAACATTGATATCATAAGATCTTACCGGCTTACGCGATAAATGTACAATGATGTCACCTTTACTTGACGACCGTTGCTAACAACAAATGTCAACAAAGATGGACGAGATCGAACATGTAGTGACCTTGGCGAACTCGCCCGAGAGGTCGTTCAACTCTTGTAGCAAGATAATAGATCAGTTTTAGGATGTTTTTATTGTTTGTTTTTTCTGTTACAAAAACAAAACGACTGGTCACTATGAATCAGTAAACAGTTGTGTTTTCAAAAATGAATAGATGCTAATAAATAT